ATGGATGATGAGCTCTGGCTGCGTTCAAAGCTAATCCTGGGGCCGTGTTCTTCCTGCTTAGCCCCAAGCAGGAGAGCAACAGAAGGCTGGACTCGCAAGTGACCCTCTGGACAAAGACTGAAGATATTTGAGTGACCTATGGAGCAGAGGAACTGCTGATGGATGTATGCTGATCTCACTGATTGTGTGTAATATCAGATGGTAAATTAGCCTCATGCAGCATCACAGCACCACAGTAATGGGTGACTGCTCCGTGAAGGGTATGGACATGTTGTGGGCACTTCAGAGTTCTCATGGTTGTATTTGCCTTCAGGAAAGGTTGGTTCTTTCTTAGGTATCTAAATAGCATCTTCAGGAATTCAATATCTCTTCTGGTGATCCAAAAAGCAAAAATATTGAGACTTACAAATAGGATTAAACTGTCAAATGTTTGCGAGGTGTTCCGAGGAGAAGAGTCCCTGGGTGTGTTTAGCTGCTGCTCTTGTGTTTTCAGATAAGGCATCAAAACTAGGCAGCAATCATAAATGGGTGGATGGGGGCACTTTGGTACAAAAACAGTGAAAATCCCTCTGTTTGGGGATATGCAGGCAGAGGTAAATCTCGACAGGTCTCCATTACAGCTACTATCTACCCAAAGAGTCAACGTTCACCTAAAAATGATTAGTCCAGGCTTGCCCTGCTGCAAGGTAAGAAATGCAGGGTAAGGAGTCCTGGAATAATCTCCTTAAGCAGCCACCAACAGGCTTGTCTAACAGTGAACTTCTCTCATAAATCCCAAGGAAACTTGTTAATTGGGACACTTCTGGAAAGAAGATGGAGCAGGACCAACCCTTGGGCTTTTGGAGAGAACGGACCTCGCGATTAGGCGCAGGCAAAAGCTTTGCCTGCTCCCTGACTTTTCCGCGCGAGGCTGAACCTTCGCCTGGCCGCAATGCGATATTTGAGCACGCTGGGAGCCTGCCAGGATTTGGATGTAGTGCTGAGTCAGAGCTCACAGTTGTAATATAGAAATCGGGAGAACCTTCGCTGTGGTTTCACTGCCTCTGAAGTTAGAGGGTTTTTACAAATCGGAGCGCTTTAAAGGCACACAGGTCTCTGCACCCAGCTGGAACTTGCAGCACCCTTGAACTTGGTAACAGCGGGTGTTGCAGGAGGATCTGGTGATCTGGTGTGGGTCGCTGGATCTGGTGTGTTGCAGGAGAGCACGGGCGAAGACCCTGCAAGGGAGACTGTGTCTGCAGAGCTGGGTGGAGATTAGAGGCACCGCAGCAGATAGAGGCTGCTGTTCTGCATAAATGAAGAGCTGGGCTTGCAGGCTGGGCTTGTTTTGTGGGAGGTGAAAGTGCCCTTTTTTTCTAAAATGGCTAAAAGATTTGCATTCATCAAGTTTCCAGCTACAGGGGAGTGTGGAGCAGCTCTTTGTACTTAGCTTGTTATGGTACATGCAAGGCTGGACTCCATCTCCAATGCACGTATCTCCTGCCCACCCTACCTTGTTGATCTGCAAGGCCACAAGGGTGAAATGGGGCTTGAAGGTTGCTGAGATCTGCAGTGCAAGTCCTGCTTTTCCAAGGGAGGCCTCTCAGCCAGGGAAGAACCCTGAAGTGACTGAGTTTCCAGAGAGCAGCTAGCCTTCCAGCCAGGAGCTCACGGCTTCCTATTCCTACCAAGCCCTTTGACTCCCAGATTGTGATTTCTTCGATATTCCAAGTCTCTGGCTGCACGAAATGGTGCTGTTAGTCAGACTGCAGCATCTCTGTTGCACGAGAAGCTGGAGCACTGATATTTACTCTTCTGCTTTTCCTCAGCCCTTCCTGGGTTAGAACCCGCTCTTCCTTGGTGAAACTTGGTTTTCCTTCCACTCTGTGAAGGGTCTGCAGCAAATGGATTGATCCTGCTGTGCTGTATGGAAATGGGAAGCAAAAAGAATGTCCCAGTCTTAAGTCTTGAGCCTTAAATGGAAGGTTATTCTGGAAGAGCAGCACACTGGCCATACACCGGCCTGGAAGACTGTCTGCCCAAAAGGATGTCTGCAGTTGGCCTTGCAGTGGTGCTTGTCACAACAGAGCACTGATGTTTTTCCTCTTGCTTTTCAGGCAGGCAGCCCTGGTGGAGGTTGTTGTGACTGTGGGGATGTAGCTGGCTTTTATTTTAAGGCTTGATTTGATTCCCATCAATGGGAATGTCATTGGATGGTCAGTTGCTTGGAGGGTTGCTCTGTTCCGTGAGGGTGTTGCCCTTCTTGGGGAAGGTTAGATACCACCTCCAGGATTTGGGTTGAGAAGATGAAAGTTGCAGCAATATTAATGCAGATGCTGGAAACAATAGCAAAGATTCACTGAAAGGGCTGGAATGTGCCCTCTGCAACGTGAGCTAGGCTTGATGCAGGATATTGCCTTACCAGCAGCAGAGGCATCTGCTTCATGCAGTGCTATAAATTAAGTATATTGGAGCCTGCTCTTTAGCCTCCAACATGATCGAGTCTGCTCTTCTCTTGATATCCTGCTGCGTGCAGGGGAAAAAGCAGCATTTGGTTGACCAGCGGGATTGCAGCGACGGCGCAGGCCCTCGTTCACGTGGCAAACTGCTGCGGGAGCCCAAGACGTGGCATTTCCCTAAAGGCAGGGTGATCAGGGGTCTCTAATGAGGGCAGCTGAACACGTTCTGTCCACTGTCCTGCTCATGTTCCTTCTTAGCTTCCTGACGGGAGTGCAGGTGCTGGACGCCTTTTCTTTCTTGGTTTAATTGTAAAGCAAAATAGAGGGGGAATTGTGGGCTCTTCCCTTCCCATTCCTGGCGTTGAGGGACACTCTCCTATCGCCATCCATGATCCAAGTTCACACTTCTCTTCCAGGCATCACTGCAGTGCTCTATGTTCCCGAGAACCCAGGGACAGTTAGAAAGGAGTCATGGGATTAACTAGGTGTCCCCTGCGCTTTGGTAAGTTCCCAGTTTGCTCCTGGGAGGAATTTTTGCCTCCCCACAGGTGGGTATGCTCCATCTGTCCGGCAGTTTGCTGAAGGGATTTGGACAAGCAACCTGCTTCCATAATCCTTAATAGCTTCCAGTGTAAAATGTTTAAGGCAAGCTAATCCTGCTAAGCTCCCTGTAGTTTTAGTAAATTTTGTCCTCCTGCCAGATCCTTCTGGCAAGAGGAAATAATTCTGCTTTTAAGGTACACTTTCTCCCATGATAAATACCTGCAAACTTGGTTTGGGGATAGCTTTGAAGTGTCCCTGCCCACTCTATGATAACGAGAGAGCCTCTTGCTAAAAACAAGACCACATTTGGTTATGAACCTTCACAATTGGTGTCAAGACAGAAAACTGTTGGAATCAGCGACTCCCTTGCTGCTGCTGTAGTTTAGTTTTCAGTGTGGCTTCTGCCAGACGCTCTTGAGTTTGAGCCAGGAGCTAAGAAAATACTTGAGGTTGGAGAGGATTTCTGGAGGTCTCTAGTCCAACTCCTGTACTCGAAGGAGGGCTGCCTAGGTCATGGTGTGCTTGTGCACAGGGGCTTGTGCAGCCAAGTTTGGAGTATCTCCTGGGATGGACAACTCGGAGCCTCTAGAGCAGGGGGCACCTTATGGTGCTGATTCAGAAATTTCAAAAAATTCAAAAATAGTGTGTACCTTTCAAAAACGACTTCAAGCCACAGTGTCTTTATTCAGTCTGGGCAGATGCCCTCAGCTGAAGGGCAGAGTGAATGGAGTCGTTAAGTCCATCCTAAACCAGGAGGCCTTGGCTTCCTGGACACCATCGGGAACACGGTGTCAAGGCCGAAAGCAAACCCCGTCCTTGTAAATGCTTGTGAAAATGACTCAATATTTGCAGAAACCCTTCTGGACCCAACCAGTATCTAGTGTTCATAGACAGTGACTGCACGGGGGAGAGCTAGAGGATCCTGCCACATCTGCCCTGTTACTCCATTGGGAGTACCCAGGGAAAGCAGCAGCTGGAGGATGGATGTGCATGGCCAGGGCGGGTAGGTTCTTTGGCGAGTCATGCACCAGCAGCCTGTTACTGGTACCCAGGCTCACAGGGGCATTTGAGGGGCAGTTGGAGCCCTCGTTAGTCGGGTGGTGCAAATATAACGAGCAGAATGAAGCAGCTGTGCGGAGCCGGCCGGATGCTCCCGCCTGGCACGGCTGAGCCACCCGGGAGATGAGTGGAAGCCGCTCTGGGCGGCTCCAGACCACCATGGATCTCTGGCACGTGGGATGAAACCACCACAGCAAGCGCGATGCTTCCCGGTGATGGAGCCGGCCGGGACAGCTCCCGGCAGCCTCCTGGGAATGGCTCCGTCGTATCCTTGGTCGCTCCGGCGGTGCCGTCATGACTAACTTGCCGCGTTGCGGGAGGCGGGTACAGGCGACACGGCGTTAGCACCCTTGTCTTCAATGGAGAAAAGCCTGCGTGGGCAGAACATGCTGTCACCACGTGAGCTTCTAAATCCTTACCTCCACAGATGCCTTAAGGCAGCTATAATTTTAATATCTGGCCTATTCTTTAGGCATCTCAGTAGCGTGCGCTGTGCTCATGGGAAACGGAAAAGATGAACACCCCGCAGCTGAATTTTCCATATTGTTAATCCGTTCAGCTCGCTTGTAACTCTAGAATATCTGCACACCCGTGCCTTGGCTCTGTCCCTCCCCTCTGCTTCTGGAAGCCTGACGCCTCTTTCTGCAGATGAAATGCAGCTTGTTCCGAAAGGATTTCTCTGGCCTGGAAGTACTCGTCTTCTAGGAGCTGGGGAGTCCCTGGAATACCGCTCAAGCCACCCGTTTTGCAGGGGCTCTGCACTGCACTGGTTTCTCAGCCGTCTCTCCGTAGGATGACACTGACTGTCCGATGAGAAGTTGGAATCTCACCACCCAGCTCTGCTCTTCCGCGCCGCTCTAGAGACACGTGGGAGCACCTGAATGCTAAGGGATGACAGGAAAGGCAAGTGACCACCACTTAACCCGAATCTTTCTCCTCTTTCTTTCTCTCTCGATACAGGTGACAGAACTGAACGAGCCTCTGTCCAACGAAGAGAGGAATCTCTTGTCCGTCGCCTATAAGAACGTGGTGGGGGCACGGCGCTCTTCCTGGCGAGTCATCAGCAGCATTGAGCAGAAGACATCCGCTGATGGAAACGAGAAGAAGATAGAAATGGTGCGGGCCTACCGTGAGAAGATAGAGAAGGAGTTGGAAGCCGTGTGCCAGGATGTGCTGAGCCTGCTGGACAACTACCTGATCAAGAACTGCAGCGAGACGCAGTACGAGAGCAAAGTGTTCTACCTGAAGATGAAAGGGGACTATTACCGCTACCTGGCCGAAGTGGCCACTGGTGAGAAGAGGGCGACCGTGGTGGAGTCCTCGGAGAAAGCCTATAGCGAAGCTCATGAGATCAGCAAGGAGCACATGCAGCCGACCCATCCCATCCGGCTCGGCCTGGCGCTCAACTACTCCGTTTTCTACTACGAGATCCAGAATGCTCCGGAGCAGGCCTGCCACCTGGCCAAGACGGCGTTCGACGACGCCATCGCCGAGCTGGACACCCTCAACGAGGACTCCTACAAGGACTCAACGCTCATCATGCAGCTCCTCCGCGACAACCTAACGCTGTGGACGAGCGATCAGCAAGACGACGACGGCGGCGAAGGCAACAATTAGACCCCCAGATGGACTGGCAGCCGCACGCTGATGCTAACTACTGCAGTCTTTATTTTTTTCCCACAAGTTGGGGGGGTCAGGGGTGGGGGAGGGACAGGGAGGGGACACCTTCCCAGGGAGACCCCCACTACCTGTCTTTGATTGCCTCGTTGACATTTTTGCCAAAACACCACTAGTGGAAGTCAGGCTGGCTGTGCTGGTTATGGAATAGCAGCCTCACTGGCATATGGACTGTTCTGTAGATTATTAATACAAGTGGAGCTGTCTTTAATTTAACTTTATCGCTAGAAATAAAAAGGGTTTTAAGGTGAAATAGCTTGAACGGAACGGCCCTCGTTTTTAAGGAAAGCAACACAAAAAGGAAGTTCTGTGGTTCCAGTAAGGCTTACGTGCGTTTGTTTCCTCAGCTCAAGTGCCGTGTGTTTGTTACCGCGCAGCAGGGTGTCTCTCTGGAGCGCCCTGCCTGGCAGGGCATGGCTTAAAATCCCCAAATTTGACAAGGAATATTAGAACAAAAGCAAAGCAAAGAATTTGGGGCTCGCAAAGCCCCAGGATTCAGGCCACTTAACCTTTTTGTTAAGATATTTATTAGGGTAGCTTACAGTATTAACACTAAACCGCAGTTTACAGTATTTCTACATTACAGCCATATGACATCAAGCCTTTGACTGTCTGTTTTCTTTTGCTAGTTCTTTTGGCTTGCCTTCCTAACAGTCCTCGCCTGTGGACTGGCTTAGCTACTCCGTGTCGCCCAAGGCAAGAAGACAACCCGCCCGAGGAGGAACATCAGAGCTGCTCTAGTTTTTTGGTCAACAGCTTAACAGGTGCTTGGCTAGCGGCTGTTTCAACTATTTTAGTCCACAGCAAAAGGTTTAAGAGCTTAATTAGAGAAAAAATAAATAAATAAATAAAAGGGGGGAAGTGTTTCAACTAAAATGCCACTAAATAAAGAGAATTCAGGTCTGTATGTCATGTACTGTGTTTGGTATTTCCAAGACCATCCTGATTTTAGGTGCCACAGCTGCTTCCTCAGGGATTGCACTGCCATTTCACTCTGCCTGACTTTCTCCCACTGGACCATGAGGTTTGTCAGCAGATCTGGCGCTCGCGCTGCCTTGTTGGTCAGCAGGGAAGCCGGGCGCGCTTTCCGTCTCCTGAGGAAGCTTGTGGTGTACTGAGTGAACTTCAGGAGCTTAGAAGCTAATTTGGTAGAGAAATCCACAAGGGAGGAGCTAAAACCATAGACATTTCTAGCCAACATCGGGAGCCCAGGAACTTAGTTCTCTTCTTAACAAAACCTTTCCCAAGTCAGTCCTATTCGGCCGGGGGTGGGAGCCAGGGCACCTGAGTTGCGTAGCAGGTAGTTTTTACCCCATTTTGAGTACTTTTTTTTGCATCCCCCTTGCACATTCGCTGCTGCCCTCCGGCTTGGGGAGCGCGGCGCCGCTTCCCCGCGACGGCAGCGCCCTGGGGAGACTCGCGCCCGTGGGGTGGTAGAACAGCCTGTCACCGTCCCTTGCTGCATCGGGCTACAGGCGGAGCGCCGCGGTGTTGCACACGCGCTACAGCCGCCCTTGTCCGCCTGTGCGGGTGGCTCCGCCGGCCTCGGCTCCGGCCCCTCGGCAGCCGTCACCTTCCCCCGGCCCTTCTCGAGGGAGCTGCCGCTCGCAGCGATCCCGGGGATGCTCCGAGCTCCCAAATCGGTCCCCAAAAGCGCCGGCTTTGGCGCCTGGCCCTGCGCAGCACCCTGTAGGGAGCCCAGAAACACCCACAAAACGCCGCGGACCGCGAGATCCGCTTAGGCTTCTTCCCTCTGATTGACCTTCGCGTCCGGTGAGCAGTGTTGTCCCAGCGCTATAATTTGGAAGTCATTTACTGGAATTACAAAACCTGTTTTTGATTTTCCGCTTTCGCTCTGGCTGCTTTAGAGAAATTCCGCAGGAAAGATCGCACAAGAGGGCTACAAACGGCGTGGGGGTGGGGGACTTGATTTTTAAGCAGCTTGAATGGTTTCTTTCATTTTTTAAGAAATGCACTTGCCTATGATACTGTCTCTCCAGTGAAATGATTACTGCTCCATTACTCTATTGATACAATATTGTGCATGCTAGTGTCGTATTTCTATACAGTAGCTTGAAATTTATTAACTTATACTGTAGATGTTATGTATTCCTATGACAAAATAGTCTTCAAAAATTTTTTAAAGTTTTTTAATTTATTTTTCTTTTGGGGGTAAAGTTTGCTCTACCAAATAGTGATCGTAACAAAACTGATCTGTTATGGATGTTGCTATAGTGACATGCAATTATATATGATTTTGTTTTTAAAAAGGAAAAAAAAGCAAAAGAAAACACCAGTGTTAGCTTAATCTTAATGTCTGGTGTTCGTCATGGTGAAATTATAACTATTACAGTGTAGGAGAACAATGACTGTGTTCTTTGAATGAGCCTTTGTTTGTGCTTTTTGTCATGTTATGCAGTGAACTATTTTTAAGGTCTAATCAGTGATTATTTTTCCAACTCCGTGTTTCTGTAAGGAATTATTTCACACACGGACCATTCTTAGCAGTTTTCCTCAGTGATGGAATATCATGAATGTGAGTCATTATGTAGCCGTCGTACATTGAGCAAATAAACTTACAGATCTGATGTCGGTGCCGCCTCGTTCTCTTGCATGTGCCGAGTTTCCACGGGGCTCTGCCGCCTCCTGAGGCTCCCGCCGCGCCACGTGGCCAGGGACTTTATCGGTGTCCCCGCTCGCTTATCGGGGGCCGGGCGGCGGCGGCCTCGTCCCAGCGCCGCGCGGGGCCCCCCTCGTCCCCGCGGGGCCCCCTCGTCCCCGCGGGGCCCTCGGGCCGCAGCTGGGAGCCTCCCTGGGGCTGCAGGCCGAGGCGAGCGCGGGGGCGGCGCCGCGGTGGGTGCCCGGGCGCCCGCGTTGAACCGCGGCCTCCGCGGAGGCCGGGCGCGCGCGCGGCCTCCCTCCCCGCGGGGCTTTCCGCTCCGCTCCGCGTGGTGACTCACGCTGCAGAAATTATCCCTCCCCTTGGAAACGGTGAAGCCGAACGCGCCGGCCCCGCGCGCCTGCCGCCCCCCGTGCGTGTGGGGCAGCAGGGGGTACCCCCGGGCCGCAGGGGTCGAGGTGGCCACTGAGGGCTCCTCGGTGGTCCCGCTGGCCTCGTGCCCCCCGTGCCCTCACGTTGCGGGCGCACGGGGCCAGCCGGCTCCGCTGCCGATGGCCTCCCCGGGCAGCGGAGACCGGCCCCCGGTGCTGGGAGCAGCCTGGGGATGCGGGAAGCTCCATCCATGGGGGGCTCGTGCTTTGGGGTTGTCTCCCATCCGTGTGTCCTGCGCACGCACCAGCCCACACACGGTTCCCCCCCGGCTTCCCTCCCTGCTCCCATCCCTGCGTGGATCTTGCTGCAGGGGAAGGCTCAGCCCCGGCACCGGGACACCTTCCTGCTCGGGGCTCTGCAGCCTGCCTGTGCCGCCAGCGGTGCCCGCTGAGGCCTGGCGTGCTCATCGCACCGAGCACCCGCGGTGCCTGCACAGCACCCCCACCCGCCCATGCAACCATCTCCATCGCACCCCAAAATGATGGAGGGCTGGAGGAGCCTCCCGGGACGCAGACCGGGAGCAGGGAGGTGATGGGGACGCGCGGCCGCTGAGGCCTGCCCAGCTCATTGCACAGCGCCCGGCCCAGGGGGCTGCCAAGCGCTGGGGAGGGGGCCGGCGGCCGCGGGATTCCTGGCAGGTCAGCGGCACCCGGAGAGGCTCCCTGACTCAGAGCGGGGATTAGCGGGATTTGTGCGAGCGGGAACAGGGCGGCCCCCGGGCGCGGGGCCTGGCGCGGAGCCCCTTGGCAGGCGGCGTGGCCCCGGCCCCGCGGGACGGTGTCCGAGGGGCGACGCTCCGTCCCTGCGGCTCCCCCAGCGCCTTCCTGCAGCCGGAGCCGGGGGGTTGGTTGGGGTGCCCGGACACGCGTGGTGCCTGGGGTGGTGCGAGGAGGGATGCGGGAGGGGCTGCCGGGGCTGGGATGCTCCTGGAGCCATGGACTCAGGACATGGGATGCTGGAGAGCCAGGGTGATGGACATGAGGGGTGGTAAGACCTGGAATTTCAGAGACCAAGGACTGGAGATCTTTGATATTGGCACCGGGGATGTTGAGGTTTGCAGTATTGGGGATCTGGGACATTGGGGATCTGGGATATTGGAGACCCAGCACATTGGAGCTGTGGGATATTGGGACCTGAGAGGTCAGAGACCCAGAATGTTGGAGACCAGGGATGTGAAGGCCAGAGATGTTGGAGACCCAGGACACCGGAGACCTGGCATATCAGAGGATGGGCACAGTGTGAGCGCGGGCAGGACGGTCCCATGTCCCATCAGGGCCAATCAGCCCCAATGGATAGGGAGCCCGCGCATGCCGGCCCGGTGCCACCGCGGCGCTGACCCCGCCTGCCACCCAGGGACACAGGACACGAGTTGGTTCACATCAGTTTATTCTGATTCTTTCCTACATTTCCCTTCCCATTTATTCAAGACACTCAGTGATGGGGTGAGTACAAAACAAGGAATAAAAACAGGGATCAAAGCGGGGGCGGCGTGAGGAGCTGTCCCGAGCAGGACGGTGGCGACGGCGGCAGTTTCTCTCCCTCCTCCTCCTCCTCAGGGCCGGCTACTTCTTGGCCGGCTCCTCCGCCTTCTTGCCTTGGCTCTCGATGGTGACGGGGATGGTGATTTCGGCCGCCTGGATGGCCGGCTTGGGCAGGGGCGCCTCCACGGTGAGCATGCCGTCGGGCGAGAGCGACGAGCGCACGGCCGTGGCCTCCACCCCGGGCGGGAGGCTGCGCGGGACCGGGGTCAGCCCGAGCCTCATCCCGTGCCCTGACACGGACACCGGAGGAGACCGCAGAGGTCCCCGAAGGGCTGGGACTCGCTCGGGCACTTACGTGTATTTGCGGGTGAAGCACCTGGAGATGAAGCCGTGTTCATCCTGCTTCTCCTCGTGCTTCCCTAAAGGAAAAGGAGACGCCGCGCGGTTGGAGGTGGCTCTCCGGGCGCTCCAGGGGGGTCCGGCCCCGGCACCGCTCGGACACCGCGGTGTTCGGAGTGTGGGATGGGGTGCGGGGAGGACGTCACGGGGCTCCCCTGTGCCCTGCAGAGCCGGGGCAGTGCCGGGGACGGGGACAGGCCGCCAGGTTCCCTGCCTGGGAGGCGGCCGGAGCAGCAGAGCGGAGGGAGGGCAGCGTTTCCTCCCCTCCCCGCATCCGCAGCGGGAATCAGGGCCAGGCCCGGCCTCCTCCGGGACCGTTCCCAAGCCAAGGCGCTGGCTGCTGCCAGCGGGGACCCAGCCCAGCCGCAGGGACTGCAGCCCCCAAAGCCCCGAGCGGGACCCCGAGCGAGACCCCAGGTGGGGCTCTGTGCCCAGCCCCAGGCGCCGGCGCTGCCGGGGGGTCACAGGAGCGCGGGCTCCTCCCCAGCCGCGGCGCTGGCCAGCCGGGCGCGCGGGGCTGCTCTTTGTCAGCGTCACCGGCTCGGCCGCGATGCCCATGGGTGCCCACCGCCGCCATGGGGCGCCCGGCCCTGCGGGGCTGGAGACACACGGCACATCAGGTCGGGTTGGGAGCGCAGCCTTCGCCCAGCGCCCCGGGGCGCTGCCGGAGCAGCAGCCACGTCCCCCCTCAGCCTCCCATGCACGGCGGGTCTCACCACGGCACCAAAACCACCGCCGGCCTCCGCTCTCCCTTCCCACCCTGGGAACACAGGACCCACCGGTTATCTCCACAATGTTGTCCTTGGTCTTGACCACGAGCTCCTCGGGGGCGAAGTGGTTGACGTCCAGGGTGACCTTCCAGCTGTCGGCCGTGTGGCGGATCTCGGAGACGCCGCTGCTGAGCTGGCGCGTGAGCGCGCGGCCCAGCGCCGGCCCCGCCGCCGGCAGCAGGGCGCTCTCGCCGGGCAGCAGCCGGTAGTAGCCCGGCCAGGCGCTGCTGCTCGGCCACTTGTACCAGTCCTCGGGGATGTGCGGCATCCCGAAGGACTGGTCGAAGAGGCGGCTGCCGTGGTACCAGTCCCGGAAGGGGTCCCAGCTGGGGCTGCGCAGGAAGGTGAAGGGCACGCGGCGCTCGGCCATGTCGCGCGCTGCGGGCGGCCGACGGGCGGCGAGTGCCGCCGGGGCGGCGCAGGGCCCTTATGAAGAGGCCGGGCGGTTATTTTTAGCCGGCGGCTCAGCTGGCTATTAATGGAAATTGCAGCAGGGCCCGGGAAGGGCCGAGAGGCGGCCGGGAGCCAGCGCCGCCCGGCCGGGACGGCAGCCGCGCGCGTGTCGGCGGTGACGGATGGCGCCTGGAGCCGCTCCCGGCCTCCCGCCCTCCGCGCGCGGCGAGGCTGGGGCCGGCGGGTTCCGTGCCGCGCCAGTCGCCGCCAGAAGCTTCTGGAGCGGCCGGAGCCTTCCCGGCAGGATGGAGCCTTCCTAAACGCACTGCACGGGGGGGGTGCTGTTCTCGGGGGCACCCAGTGCGTTGTGGCGGCCGCCGGTCCTGGCTCACACCGGGGCACCGGCTGCAGCCGAGACCTGGCGCACTCAGCGCAGGGAGCCACGAACCCAAGGGACGGGGTGAGGAGGCGCCCTGGGAGGGGGTGCAGGGCCGGTGTCACCCACCCACCCCCGCGGCCGCAGCTGGCCGCCCCCTTTGTTTGGGGCCGGGGATCCGCTGGGAGAGCCGGAGTGTTGCCATGGAAACCGCAGGGAGTTGGTGGGGGGGGAAGGAAGGTGGAAAAAGGGATAAAAGAATCGGGAAGGGCTGGATCCTGCTGGGAGCCCGTGGGGAGCCCTGCGGGGATGGGGGAGGCGGCCGGTGCCGGAGCCATGGGATGGACACATGGAGTGTGGGAAGGGCTGGATGCGGAGAGCCCCCCCCATGCCACCCCCCAGGAATCATCTGCTCCAGGCCCGGCGGAGTCATTTACAATATATACTGTATATTTTATTATAATTGAACCAGCTCACTGAATCTACAGCTGTACTCACAATCCGGAAATAAAAAAAAAAAAAGAAAAAAAGAAAAAAATAATAAATAAAGAGCGCACGCGCGAGGAAAATACTGAAGTATTCCCATGGAGTATTTGTTCCAGTTAGCTCCCTCCGCGGGCAGGAGACAGAGAGTGTAAAAGAGGAAGACTGGAATTTTTCCCTGATGTCTGTGCGGTGCCGGCGCGGCCGCCGGGATGGCGCGAGGGAAGGAGTTGGGGGTGTTTGGAGCCCCCGGCGGCTCGGGGGGATGAAGAGGCTGCGGCGGCGGCACGTGGCGCTTGGTGGCACCGCGCGCCAGGCGGGCGCCTTGGCCGCGGTGGAAACGCCACGGGATGAACCTACTCCGGTGGTTCAACATGGATGTTGACGCGATCAGGCATTTGGGGGCTCCTGGTGTGGTGTCACCTGCGAGCAGGTGCAAATGGGGCGAATCGGACTCCAGGAACCCAGCAGGAGCCACGAGTTCTGCCGACGGTTCTGCTCCTGCCCCCGGGCATCCCTGTGTCCCAGCACGCGGCCGCCTGCCCAGGGCGCTCCGCCTAACACGCTGGAACAAGCCAAGCGACTGAGCAGCGCAATCGTTTCTGCTCCTTACCTGTGAAATCCGTTTCTAATTGCTTTGCTTTTCTGGGCCTGGAATGGCAACGAGGCCCCGTCCCCGCCTGCTGCCCCGGGACGTGTCTCATCACGGCTCACATTTGCCGGCAAGCAGGTTGTGCTGCGGGCAGCGGGCGCCTCCGTAGGGATGCCGGTCTGCTCAGCGGGACCGGCTGCATGGAGAGACGGGCTGGAAAACTGGGCAGCTTGGAGCAAGAGATGACCCAAGCCCTGGAGATGCTTCCCTAAGGCCCAGTGATCCTCACTCCCTCATCCCATCTGCTCCAGGTCCCCCAGGGCGCCCCTGCCCCCAGCACGGGACCCTCTCCGTGCTCCCGGCCCGACTCCTCTCGCTGTGTCCGTGTTTGGCCGGTTCCTCCGGGGGCAGGTTGGAAAGGGCAGCACGAGGAGCCCCGTGGCCGGGCAGGCCGCGAGCTCCCAGCCCCACAGAGCCGGCCCCAGATGCAGCCCTGGCTTAATCCCTGTTCCTGCCCTCCTGAGACCTTCAATTCATCACGCAGCGGCCGCAGACTAACGAGGCCTTTGCATTAGCGGCTGAGCAGGATGCAAAAGGGATGACTCGGTCCTACCAATCCCCCCGAGCCAGCCAGGCTGGCTGGAAACTCATGTCAAGAGGGATTGACAAAGCCCAGCTTTCAATCTGGGGGCAACGGGTTAATCCGGGCAGCTGCTCTCTCCACCAAAGGAGGCTCATGGGCATCGTCTTTCTGCAGCGAGGCAGAAAATGTGTGGTCCATGCGGATTAAATGCAAACAGCCCCAGGCTGCTGTCATGCAGGAGGGCTCCGGAGCTGTCCCCAGCTCCCAGGCAGCTGGGAAGAGGATTTTTTGGAAAACCAGCAGAAGGAAAGCTCTGAAAAAAGCAAGACCACCAGCTTCTCAGCAAAGCCCTGTACTCATGGGACCTTCATCCCTCTCCAATATGCAGCTGGTTCTTGCTGCTGCTCAAGGAACTTGGGCTGCCCTCAGAGATGGGAGGCGATGGCACCAAGTATGGCCGGAGCAGCTGGAACGGGTCCTGCCTGCTCTGCATCCCTGTGTCCTGCTCTCATTTCCCAGCTCCCCCCCAGAGGCCAGGGAAGGGGAGCAGAGGCAGCCCCCCAGCAGCGGTGGAAGCTCTCGGCTGGGGCAGTGCCCAGGGAACAAGCCAGAAGTGGCATCAAGCACAGGGCTGGGCTGGGTAGTTGGTCTTGAACTTAGATAAGGAGGTAGAAGGGGCTGTGAAGCCAACGTGGGGCAAGAAGTGGGTTTGTACCGCTGACGCTGGGGCTGCCGGGCTGGATTCCCTACTCTCCACCCGAGGGGCATCTCAAGGAAGGAGATCCCCCCCTGAAGGAGGCTCCTCAGCTCCAGGGGATGCTGAGGAGGTGCCTTCATGCAGTGGGTCTTCGTAGTGTGGTGCCATGCATGAACCCGCGTGTCTTAAGGAAAGGAGTGTTGGAGGAAGGGAGTGTGCAAGGACAACGGCATGACCCTCCAGGGCTTCCTAGTTTCGCAGGGAGGGAAGTGGGGCCGTTAGGAGACACACTGCAGGGCAGCTCACGGGCAGTCTCACGTGGCTTCTTCCCTGGAACTGTCCATTTCCAAAGGGCTCCTGCCGCCCATGAGAATGCCAAGGAGAAGAGGGTTGGATGCTCTCAGCTCGAGGGATGAGAACAGCGCGTTGAGGCTTTGGGGATCTGCTTCTTCCCCGGCTATGGGGGAAAATGTTTTTTCCCCAGCCTTGGGGAGCTGGCACACAATTCTCCTCCACACACTGTCTCTTTGGGATAGGAAAGGGGAGACCCCGAGGACTCACAACCACAGCAGGGTAGAAGATCCCCGGGAGTTTGTTCTGCAAGGGGGTGCAGGGTGAACGAGATCCATGGGAAACACAGCCTTATGGAAGCGCCCCGCCTCAGTCCCACTGCAGACGCGCTGGGTGGTGCCAGCACGGTCCCCTCGCCCCCCCAGCACAGCCCACGGCCACGCCGAGCGCCACGCGCGCGGGGACGGGCGAGAGGCGCGGGCCAGCGCTGCACGTGGCCGAGCCGCTCCGGCGGGGCCGGCTCCGGAGCGGGGAAGAACAGCAGGAGCCGCGCGGAGCGGCCCCACGGGCCTCCCCACCTGCGAGCACACTGACGAGGCTGAAGCAACGCTGCGCTCCTCCTCCTCCTCGCGTCTGGCTCTGGAGACAGGCTGGCACGGCCGCGCTGGCCGTGATCTTTGTTCGTCGGTGGCTCCCAGAGTACTTGTGCCTAGCAGGGCCCCCATTAAAGTTCAAGTTGCCTCTGTCTCCAAGGGGACAAGCGCAGAGGACCGCGGGAGGCCGGGAAGGCAGCAGTGCCGTGTGGAAGCAGCGATTCCTGTTCTTGGCCAGTGCCGATGGAAAGGCCGGGCTCTCCTCTAGGTCGCATCGCTCCCTTCAGCTAAGCACCGGCCCCAGAAACCCCTTCCTCATCCTCTTCCCTTCCCCAACCCCACCAAGGATACACTTGTGCTAAAAGAAAATGAACAAATAAAAAGAAAGCGTGAGGGGTTCTCGCTGGCTGGAGCGAGCGGAGCAGGAAGGGCCGCCGGGCCGCGGGCTCCCCGCTCCCGCAGGCTCCCGGCTGCCCCGCGCTGCCCAGTCCAAGGTCTTTGCTAAGCAGTTTGTTCCCTCGCTCTGTGCTCGCCCACCCTGTCCCTCCCCACCCCAGCGCTTGCAGAAATTAAGAGATTTCCCCCCCTCCCTTGCCCACCCCAAAATACCCTAGAGATTCGGAGTCCCCGCAGTCCCAGAGGGAGGGACACAGTCACCACGGACCATGCAGGGCTGTGCGTGGGCCCAGCCGACTTCTCCATCAGGCCCCTGCTCTCCCTAGCCACCAGGTCCACCTCGCAGCAGCTCCCAGGCGTTTCCCGCCTTCCTGATGCTCCTGGCTCGGGGGACGGGCCAGAGGAGACCCCCACGCCGGGGCCGAGCCGTCTCCGTCCCCGCTGGGGGCCGGCTCAGAAGCCCGCGCTCTCCGAGCTGCTGCGGCTGTTGTAGCTGGGGCTGCGGCTGGGGCTGCGCGAGCGGCTCAGGGGGCTGCGAGTCCGGCTGCGGCTGCGGCTGCTGCTGTAGCTGTCGTAGCTGCGGCTGCGGCTCCGGCTGTACGAGTAGCTGCTCAGCGAGCTGGAGGATGAGGGGCTGGGGCGGTAGTAGGGGATGGGCCGCTTGCGAGCGCTGCAAAGGGAAAAGGGGAAGCGAGTGAGGGCCCCAGAGCAGCTCCGGGAAGGGACCACGGGCCCGGAGCGGCCCCATGGCCTCCCCGAGCCCCGGCTGCCCCCGCCGCCACCCCGCGCGGTTAGTCCTGGATTAGGCAGCGACGAGGACAGAAAGTGAGCGGGTTAATGTGGCTTTTGTGTTTCCCAGACACCAAAGATTTAAAGCTGCTGAAAAAGAGAAGTTAGGGATTAGTGAGAGGCAGGATGCGGCGGGCAGCGGGGCTGCTGCGGGGCGCTGAGCCTGCCCCGGGGCCTGA